ACCTTATAGGCATGGGCATCCTCCATATCCATATACCCGTGTGCCTTGGCCATCAACTGCTCATAGTTAGTGACTGGCTTCTTGGCAAGCGAGTCGGACAACTCATTGCTCTGCAGGCCGGCAACGAGTGTGGACATGACGACTGCACTCCCTGGGTCGTTGACCTCCAACCTCTTCACCTGGAATCTTTTGAAGTAGGCTCGGAGGCTTTCACTGGGCCCCTGCCTCATCTGAAACAACACATGAGGGGGAAGCTTCTGCTTAGTGTCAGCCAGTAAGTGGTGGATGAACTTCCGTCTGAACTATTGGAAACTACTGATGGACTTCTTCTCAAGAGCATTCCACTAGAGTTTGGCACTCCCTGAAAGAGTGATAGGGAAGCATCGACAGATAACTTCTTTCGAAGCTTGGAGCATGTTCATTACGTCGTAGTAATTCTGAACATGCTCGGAGGGGTCTCCCTCACCTTTGTACTTCTCCACGTGAGGCATCTTGAATTTCTCACATGGGGCATTCATAAGGTCATCTGAGAGAGGGGTGTTCCACCCGATGGCGTCTGCGACCGGTCTATACACTCGGTCGTATCCAGAGGCCCTTAGGTAGCAGAGGGGGCGTGAGAGGCACGATGATGGAGGAGAGTCTTAGAGACCACTCCCCTAGTGCAGTCCCCAAAGTGACATGGGCCTGTACTCTCACCAGAGGTCTCCTGATGACGGTGGTAATTTGGCGAGACTCGTCAGCGCGAGCTGATCGCCGCAATGGTGGGGATGCGTGTTCAACGCGATTGGCAGCAGCATGATGAGTCTGAGGCTGGACTACTCGCTGAGCTCCGGTAGGAGTATGAGTCTCTGACCGCTGGTCTCCTGAAGGAGGGGGGCTGAGGTAGCTCGCTGCGACTGTGGAAGCCGGTTGAGAAGTTCGTTAGTAAAGATAGTAAATTACTCTTGAAAATACTGAGAGAGCTTGTGAGCTGTTTCCTCAAGCTGGGTTTGGGTAACGTAGCTCTAGCGTCGTTCTACAGGGTGAGACTGATCGGACCCTTGTTCAAAACCTGACATGTTTTCTCAAAAAAGAAAGATGTCCCACATTGGGCGCCAAACTGTTGATGTACTACTGATCACACAGTCAATATGTATCGTGTTTGGATGAGTTTTGTTGAGGATTGATGAGAAGCGGCTTTCTTCCCCGACTTTATGTTTGGTTCTTGAGTTGGGAATCTAAAAAATCTGCACATGTAGAAATTCGTGAGAGGACGGGACTTGGTTTCCCCTTTGTACCTCCGACGATCAAGTTAGCTGATGAACTTGAGTGAAGTAAATAAAAACTGTGAGAGTTCTTGTGTGTGTGCAGTGTGATTTGCAATTTTAGAGAATTTGGATCAGAATCTGAAAATTAGGATCTAGGGGTCAGATCTTCGATCCCCCGTAAAGACAAAATAGTACATGTATTTATACCTAGGGTATAAGGGTAGATTGGTCACTTCGACCGAGCACTGAGAGGCGGTGGCGAAGTGTGGACTGGCGGCTGCGTCAGCACTTGCTTTATAGGTGTCGGCTGGTGATTAGGGAAAGGATCACTTCAGCATTAAATGAGAAGTGAATGGTGGCATGGATGTGCCCCACGTGGTCCGATGAGTCATGAAGGGTATCGAGACTAGGTGCATGATGCGCATGACATGCATTAAATGCAACGTTGACACGTTGTCAGTGAGTATAGGCTCGAGGAAGAAGTTGTCCTTTAGCTTCACCGAGAAGTAACGTCTTTCGAGTCGTCTAGCAAACGGTCGAGTGGACTCATGGTGAGAGGGCGACAAAAGTTGCCTTTCGAGTCGACATGAAGGGATATCGACATGACAAGTCAGAGTGGACTCATGGTGAGAGGGTGACAAGAATTGTCTTTCGAGTCGACATGAAGGGATATCGACTTGACAAGTCGACTGAGTTGTCGTCCTTACTAGTTTCTGGCCGCGAAGTTGATTGGGGCATAGCATGCAGAAGTACATTTGTCCATTGCTTGGCACTGAGTTGCACTCGGACGAATACGAACACCATAACAATTTTAAACTTACGAACTCCATTTTCACCAAATTTTTGGAAACAAATAGCACAAGAATGACTAGGAAGAGTACATTCACAAGAGTACATTCAGAGTGACTAGGATGACCACAATCACAAGTTACAGAAATTGACGCAGACATTTTTGGATATCGAGACATCATTTCTAGACAATGAAAACCACATCATGCTTCTTAATATTTGTTGACCAAAAGGCCTTTTCGCAGTGTAAAAACGAAATTTTAATAAGCTTTGAAAAAATTCACATAAACTGAAGAATAGAAAGTTGAGAATATTCAATTCTGCTAGACAAACACAAGAATTACTAGACTGAGTCAAGTCTTGGGGTTTACAGTTGCAATAACGTGCGCGAAGGAACAAGATTCTATCTCCTACATATGATTAGTAATTAGTGGAAAAAGGCAAATAAATTAATACCCCAAACCTAATTTTATGCAGCACAAGGCTACAGACCATAGGCCTTTTCATAAAGCTAGACATAAGTAAAATTTCTTTCCTAAAAGAAGTGCCCTTTCCTTTCATTCAAATTGGAAAGTTGAATTCATGCCCCTCTTGCAACACAGCGAGTGAGTGAGAGAGAGAGAGAGAGAGTGAGAGAGAGAGAGAGAGAGAGAGAGAGAGAGAGAGAGAGAGGTGATCATATCTCAAAGGGCACTTGCACAGCATAACATAAGCAAACGATAAGTCGAATATCATACAGAAGATCATCATTTAATATCAATGTACTTTAAAGCTTGATAATCTTTGTCAGGCAATACTACATTGATTAATAGTCACAAAAGAAAAAACCTAAAAAAACGAAGAATATGTTAAGTTCGTTCTGATAATTGCATCAACAACAGCTCACATCTGAAAATGTCTGCTCTAGAGAATGGCAACACTCAGGTAGTCTCCAATCTTCATACAAACAAATTATAAGTTTAATGAGTTACAGCGTCAACGTGTTTCAAGTAGTATTTAGTAAAATTAATTAAGAAATGTACCTGAAAGTCGAGCGCCTCCAGTGTCTTCCCATCATCTCGCCCATTTGCATATGAGTGAGTCGTGCCGACCTTCATCATAAAATAAAAATAATAATAATGAAGACACTTCTTTAAGAAACTTGACTTTTAGAAGCAGAAAACAGGAATCTGGCCTTCAAAAGCATATATAGTAATGCGTGTTCAATCATTTTGATGATACAAAACAGTTAAAATCATTAACAAGTATCTTGTAAATGCTCCCCAGATGTTAGTCTCGTTCATATTTGATCATAAATCGTTGCATTCTGATATAAGACATTGTGTCCATCTAAGAAAGAACATTAAAGAATAAAGGGAAGAAAACCCTCTATTTTCATATTTTTGTTGAAAAATCGGAATCCAAGTAAATACCCCCTCAATGAGACATCAAACACTTTATTTTCCTATTTCTGTTTGTGTTCTTATATTTGCAAAATGCATTATATATATATATCACAATGAAAGTGAGGAAATTGATGACCTATCTGAACCTCCCCAAGTAGGAAATATGTATCACAAAGCTTCAATTAGTGCATTCTTGGCCTTAAAGATGATTTTCTCATAATGTGATATGTACCATGTCGTAAATTCAATGGCTTTAGGTTAGAAGACAATGTTGGTAGGCATGCAAAAACTTGTGAAGCATAAGAAATATTACCCAAAGCTAGTGATTGCTTTTGGTAAATTTATTGAGTTAGGAGCTTAAACACAAGGCCAGAAGAAATATGAAGAATGTCAGCAAGTGTTAAAAAGCGGGGGCAGAGCTGATGTGTTGTCATGGTTGTTTTTCTTTATCGTCATCCTAAGAAGATGTCAGACACAAGTTTTTAGAACATTGCAGAAGTAAGCGCATAAAAGGTTCCAAAGTTCTTCCGTGTGTGCATGTGCACACAATTAAGAAATCTGGAGGAGTCTCATTTCAATTCCTTTTTTCTTTGAGTGTACAAAGTAGGAGATGCCCAAAAATGTCTTGGCATCCATCACTTGCACGAATCGAGATAATAAAAGCACTTTCCCTAAGAAATCATATCAGATGGACTTCAATGCAACAAGTAACGTACTGAAGAGAAGCAAAAGTACTTATGTCATCCCAACAAAATAACACTAAATCCATAGATAGATTGTCTTACTTGTCTGAAAACAAAACGACCTTTCTTATCAGGGTATACAAATGCAAACGAAAGCCTTGCATTTCTTCGCCTTGCCGCTGTTGCAACCTCTTTGACCTAAAAAAGAAGATAACGATGATTTCTGCCATTTTTTTAATCTATGAGAAGCATAGACAAAGAACAGAAATGAGTATAACTCCATTACTAGGTCAGTGAGCTCTCGAAGTGTGGCATCCTTCCATGTATAAATTTGGACCTCATCTTTAGGCTCCTTTCCCCTCACAGCAAAGTCTTCTTTGGGATGATGGCTGCCAATCTGTGAAAGCCTCAAAATCAGTCCTTGTTATATGTCATTCAGATAGCAGTTACAGAAGTTATTCCTTGATAATATAAGAAAAGGGTTTTTGAATACTTAGCTATTTACCCCAAAAAAATCTGCTAGATTTTTAAATTTACTCCTCAAATCTAGCTATTTCCAAAAATACCCTCCAAAACTCCAACTTGGGACAAATATACTCCCCACTTACCAAATGTTATGTTATATCTTAGGGAACCTACCAGGTATATTCTCTGATTAGGGGTATATTTATCTCGAGTTGGAGATAAAAATACAAAGATTCTGGGAGTAATTTTTTAGGAATACAAAAATTATGGGAGTAAATATAAAAAATACAGTAGATTTGAGGGGTAAATATAAAAAAACTTCTATAAGAAATGCATATGCCTTTGAAGATGTCAAAGTTCAAAAAGAAATGACTCATCACTAGGACCACAACAATAATATTGCTCTTTTTCTAATAGATATATATTATGAAAGCACAGGTGATGTAGGAACTGCATAAGACAAGCAAATTCATAGTTCACTGAACGTTTCTGTGAATACTTATGCAACACTAGATGTTCTGGTTACCATATAAATACTTCGATTTAAGATGTAATAACATGTCAGTAAGAGTGTTTCAGGCATATGCAAGAATTGGTCGACGTCAATCAAGTTATATTTATACAGTTGGATAGAGATAAAGGGAATCCATATATTCATCAGTGTGAACAATAAGATGACCACATAAACAGATAGACTGTACGTACACACATCTTTGAACTGTTGCGGAACACATCGTGCCCAGTGGTGTCACGGGACACCACTGCATAACCTACTTTATACATAATTTTATTTACTTTTACTTCCATATACAACCATGATAAATCTCATATGGCGACACCACTAGGAGGATATCCTTAACCCACCACTGTCTTTGATTACGACCTGAAATATATGCATCAACACCTGTGTTTGTTGATGCTCCGGAATTGTGGAATGTGGATGTTATTGAATTTTACATTATATGAAGGGTTCTCCACTATATAAGTCCTGGTACGAGTGTGAAACCGGAACATGCTAGTATGTCTTTACATCATAGGCACTTCAAATACTGCTCATAATAATTAGATGTATAATACTGGCAAGATATCTAAGCATGATTTTTCACAGTAAAGAAGTACTTGCTAAAACAGCATAAATGTTTAACAAATTTTAACCAAAAACATTGTTTTGAATCCTTTTTCTTCTAAAAACTATGCTTTCTCTTTCCAATACTTTTGTTTATTTTTTTGGAATACTGGACAGTTGCATATTTAATAAGCCAATAAGCAAACTAGGTAATACCGACAAAACACTAATTCAGACTGATTTCTTCTCCAGCCAAGTTTGATCGGCTATAGAAGAGGTTCAGGCTTTTAAAATCTTGAAAAATCTTTATTCTAGAAACTCTTCTATGCAGACGAGTGGTTGAAAATAGAAACTTCCTGAGCAGTTTTCTCAGTCGGAAGCTCCATGATTAAATTTAAAGCAGCAAGTTTATATATCTTAAATCCTTCACAAGCTAGGAAACTCCAGATAAACCCTTGAAAAGAGCAGAAAAAGAAGAAAAGACAAGACAAGAAAATGGATAACTGACAAAGTTCAACCATGTAAACTTAGAACCCCTTGAACAAAAAAGCATCAATCTAACAGCCATCATATGGAAAAACAACAAAACCATGACTAAAATCCATAACTGTTAAATAGCAAAAAGTTGTGTGAACAAGAACTTCATGCGGAAATCAATTTTCTTAGTAGAAGTTCTCGGCAGCATGTCATGTGAGCGGCACAAAAGTCATTGCAAAATGGTGTGATGTGGCGTGCAATATGTAATTACAGACTTATCCTCCTTGGTGATCAGTATACAAATATTGCATAAAGCACATAGTAATCTCAAACTTTTGAAAATACAAGTATAGGATGCTGTCTATAGATATCCAACACAAATAATGAATGTTGTTAGGGCCTAACATTTGCAAAAATTAACCTCAAATCAGATCCTGGTATTAAGCATAGATAACATGAAGACATTTCAAAGTTTGCTATAATACAGTCTTACCATGTATGGAATATCTAGAAAATGAAATAATTATAGGAAAAGTTACAATAAAAATAAGCAGATAAGAGCGTGCATACCTTAGTGAAAACTCGAAGCAAAAGGGGACAAGTCTGCAATTTCACCAAAAAAAATTCATCAACATAAGCCACAATTTCGATAGCCATAAGTAGATGAGTAATGCACGATAATCATGTCATGGTTGCAACCTAGCATCTCAACAATATCATTTTCTAACAAATGTTAAGTAAAAAGAAACTTCAGATAACATTTTCATTGTACTTTTCTGAAGTTACAATTCTTGATGTAAATCCAAATTTAAGATTCTGCACTATAACAGCATCCTAATCTTAGCTCTATATAACCTGTTTCAAAGGTAAAAGCAACATTATATTTCTTAGGGTCATATTTATCTTCCCTAACTCCATAAATCAGACATAGCTCATATCTTATGGATGTGGTGCAACTTCTGAGTTTAGATGTAAGGTCCTGGCCTGTGTTATCGCATGGTATCAAAATAATGCCAGTCGATATCATCTTAAAACTGGATAACGCAGCCCAGGCAAAAGTTCCAACTCTTTAGAAGTTTTGATGGGCCTCATGTTCATAAACGGTGGGACTAAACATATTTACCAGTTACAATGTATTTGTTCTGCTGTTTTTTTACCCCCTGCTATGTTTTCTCTATGTAACAGTGAAGATGAATAGTTACCATCCCCTCAGCAGTTCTTTCGAAAAGCACAATATGACTAATAACTCAACCCAAAATTTAAGACATTGCTCTAATTATTAAGCATGAGCTAACTCAACAAATAGTACTGATCTTTCGAAGAATGGAGCGATGCAACCTCATTTATGATGGTTGTTATGGCTCCTGATATGGTGATCTCTGCCATCACCAGTCACCATCAATCACATTACCCCGGTTTAGGACAACATTATCATATATTTTCTAAAATAAGGCACTAATAAAATGAATTGCCAGAAGATTCATGATTCTCTATGTTATTGATCGCATGTATTCCCTTCTTCACCCTCTCTTGAGAATCTAAAGATTAAAAAACTAGAGATGCTAGACAACTTGGCAATCAAGTATTTTAATATGCCATGTGAAACCATGCATGGTAAGGGTACATGCTGCGACAGTAAGAAACTTAAGAGATCAATCATTGGCTATCCGGAGGACCGTTAGCTTGATAAATATCACCAAAAGCAATGGGCCATACACTATGAAAATACATCTAACATGAGCAAAGTATATTCAGAGGTGAATTAGAATGGTAAAACTAAAACATGATGAAGAATACAATCTTACATTTTTACTGTAAGTGTCACGAGCCAGTAGTGAATGTTCAATTAGCAGTACCCACATAGACATCTACATAACTGAGCTCAATAGTAGCGGTTGACTAAGCAATGACAATAAAATCATGCCACGAGAAAAAGGCAGAAAACATTTTTTTTCCAAAACAATCCAAAAGGACTCAAGCAGGGAATTATACTAGGGACCACACACCCTTGTGACCCCTAATGCTTTGGTAAGTATGGGTTGTAATATGCAAAGGGTAATCAAACATGCAAACAATTGGCTAGCAGCTCAGGTAGCATTAAAGATTTGGCTTAACTGCGAAAAGACCTCATGTATTATTACACTGTGCCACTTATTACCCCTTAAGTTTGATGCCGGAAGACAGGCCCCAAATTGAACTGAACGCCCTAGTCTACCTCTGTGCCTCCTCTCCGTTGGATGTTGCGCAGATTCCGGAGAGGAATGTGCCGTCCGGAATCTGCCGGAGATTGAGCAAAAAGAGAGGAAGAGAGAGACGAAGTGTAGTAGAAGAAGCAAGGTTATCGATAGCGGATAGCGTCGCGTAGCGGTGAGGCATCGCTAAGACTATTTCGGACTATTACGGTAAAATAACGATAAAAAGCGCAAAGTCAAATAGCGGTCTAATTTAGATATGTATAAATACTAGAAAAAAATTAAAGAAAAAACTAAGAAATCTAAAAGTACATATTGGATGATTTTAAGAGATCCTAAACATGAAATAGATATGTAACCATCACTTAATACCGAAGATGACTGGAGGAGTCAAAAAATCATCATCTTCGAGAAGAAGAGCTTAGCGGTGATAGGACTGCCCTAAGAGGAGCTCACGGTGAAGGAAGTGAGAGGAAGTATCAAGGTAGGTACCAGAGGCTATGAGAGGTGGCAAGAGTATGTTAAAAATCATAGGAGACGGTGGAATGCAATGGTCAAGGGTTGAGTTTAATTTTAAAAAAAATAAGCCTCAAACCGCTTTTAAATAGTAGTCAAAAAGCAAATTTCGAATGTAATCGCTAACTATTTACCATTATGACACACTATTGGCCGCTTTTGCGAACAGACATATTCCGTAATATGTCATCGCTATTGCGCGATAGTATAGCGGGCGATAGCGTCGCGGGAAGGGACAACTAACGCTATTAGCGCTGCTATCGCGGGACTATTTACCGCTATTTATAGCAGTGAGTAGAAGGGATCTATCTGCCACAAACCTCTACTGACATTTAGCTCCAAGAATCTATCTACCAATATCAAACTTAAGGGGGAATAAGCGGCAGATGACTATGTGAAACTACGCATAAAGATTAAACATGGGCTTAATACCTAAATGGTTAATTGCTCATAGACAACCCGTATTACCGATATCTTGAACTTACTGCCCTTGTAGTTTCACATTGGCAGATAGACTCCCTGAGTGAATATTTTGACTCTTTTACCCTAAGATAGACTCACTAATTTGCTAATTTTAACAAGGGGCAATATCCGACTAACGTTTCACCCA